CCAATGGAGAGGAACATAGCATGACTAAATATTCCGTTATTCCAGTAAATCAAACTTGTACATCTAAGAAGTTTTCAACAGAAGCTGACCTTCTAAAGTATTTTTCTATTTCGGACGTTGTCATTCAAAAGATTATCCTTTCTAAAAGATATCTTACAAAAGCGTACCTCAAAAATTAAGAATGATCACGACCATAGTCAAAGAACAAGCAGAACAACTACACATTTCTCTTTATTTCGCTAACAATACTGATTCTAGTGCAAGTTTTTCTTTAAGAAAATTGCTAAGCGAGAGTTGTTTGCTCTCATGAAGTTCATCTCAACACTAGCTCCCACGTCTCTTGCTCTTGAAATTAGCGGGAAAAATCTACCTTTCCGCTTTGAACTCTCCAAAGCAGAAAGGTAGATTTCTCAGCAAATTTTAGAGCTCTGCGTGAATTTTAAAGCATTTCCACATATCATGACACTACTGGCAATCGTCAAATGCTCTAAGTTGTACTCTACAACTATCAAGTGTTTATTGATCTTTGCATTTATAAAAAAAAAAATGAGAGCTAGCCACACCAATAAAAGTAAACCAATTCCAAATTTTTGATAAAACACTTTACTTAGTCGAGAATGGTAAGAGCTAACGACTAAGTAACATTCCAATATTCAGCTTTCGAACTACGCTGCAGGTGCTGCACATAGCCCATCTCTACAGCTGCTAAAGCAGCTACCGCATACTGGCCCGGGAATGTAGACTTGTTGAAAGTAGATATTACCTCTGAAAAGAAGTTTTTGAAAAATATGTAATATAGAATCATCGAAAGGATGAAGAGATGATTTATAGCCTAGTGCGATGAACAATAGCGACAAAAATTATCAATTTCCACACAAAAACCTAATCGAAAAATTTATTGAATAGAAAAGATAAGACAACGTACTTAGGACTATAGCGGCATACCACAACTCTGCTTCCTCCACAAATTCTTACACCGCATCCGATTCTGTACGAACCAGCCCAAGCCATCTGCAATTATTTTCTTGTTGCGGTTAGAAAACTGTGATTTAAAAAAAGCACAACCCTCAAATTACATTCGTCCTTGTAAAAGTTAGTCGGGAGATTGCTAAGATTAATTCTAATTTAGGCT